CCTATGATCATTTTTATGATCATCAATCACACATCATACTAGTCTTAGTATATCATTATTCCCATAATAACATATGACTAGGGAGTTTAGTATTGTTCATAACAATACATGGATTTCATTACATTTCAAGTATGCACAATATGTAATGAATAAAACACTCATCCATAAAGAAACAGAAGGTGTCAATACATCAAATCTATCTAAATGAAGCTCGCATAACAGTACATCATAGAGCACTAAACTAACACCAGACATGGCAGACCGTGTTGGTTTAGTGCTCTATGATGTACTGATTATGAGCTTTGTTCAGATACATTCGATGTATTGATACTTTCTATGTGGTTTTATGAGAGTATTTTATTCATTACATGTTCTTGCATGCTAGATCTGTTATGAAATCCATGTATCATTAGGAATGATACTAAACTCCCTAGTCTTGTGTCGTTATGGGAATAACGACATAATAAGACTAGTATGATCTGTGATTGATGATCACAGAGATGATCATAGGTATTACGAATCATATGGAGATAGTAGACATGCAATATGGGACTTGTCACCTCCTTAACAGGAGAGATATCGCTGGGCTCTCTCGTGGAAATCGGACTATGAAAACACGTGGCCATGCTATAGATGAAGTTGCATCTATTTTATTAGTCGATTTGCCAAGACGAGAAAGCAGTTGAACTTGATAAAGGCGTGTATCAGGCACGAAATGAATCATGTACTGGATTGTAGATAGTCAAGACGGGATTTGTACCTCTCATAAAAGAGAGAGATATCGCTGGGCCCCTCGTGTGAGCGAGACTTAGAAATGTGTGGCCGCACTATAGACGAACGTCGTCTATTTCAGACAGTCGAACTCAGTTAACGAGAAAGCAGTCGAATCAGATAAGGTGGCTTGTCCATGCCTTATGTTCGACGTATGATATCGCGATACAAAAGGATCATCAGCCGGAATCATCACTGGTGTTCGTAAGATCACGAACCAACTCTATTCGAGATAGGTAGTCATAGTGTCTTGCTAGAGACCGCCTATGACTTGTATATCCGAAATAGAGATTTCGGGTTATACTGCTATATCGAATGAGCCTACAGGGTCACACACGCAGGGAAGGACAAAAACACGAGAGAAAACGACGGAAAACCGAGTCGGACGGGTCAAGACCCGACGGTCCGGATGCGTGGTCCGTCCGTTCTGGGAAGCAGAACGGACGGTCCACGACAACACGCAGACCGTCCGTTCTATGAGGATAGAACGGACGGTCCGCACAACGTAGACCGTCCGTTCTGCCTTACTGGAACAGACGGTCCACGTGCAATTCTGGACCGTCCGTTCCAGGTTCCGGTTTTCCGAAAATTAAACCGAAATTAGGGTTAAATCACTTTATAAGAAAGTGATTAGAACCCTAATTAGAGAGAGACTTTGAGCAGCCGACTTTTGGCAGAAAAGAGAGGGTTTTTGGAGATCCAAAAACGAGTTCTAAGTCTCGAGATTTCTCGGTGCACATATCGAATAGAGATTCGGGTCCTAGCAGACAAGTTCCAATCGTTGGAATCCATCCCGAGGTGTGGATACGTGTAGAGGGCGAGGTATTCTTCCTGCCTTTCGTGATCAAACGACTTCTTCAGTTGATACAGGCCCCGGATCGATTGAGGTAAGCGTTCTAACGTTTCTACGAATTCAATAGCAGCATGGTTCTAGGGTTCTATAAATTTTTGTTTTACTTCCGCTGCACAAACCCTAGAATCGATCTCTTAGGAATTAGATTCGCTCATGAGATCCCAGGAAACCCAACAGACCGATCGGTCTAGACCCTTGGACCGGACGGTCTAGCCTCCGAAGAAACGTTGCATTCAGACGAAAAGTTAACCTAGACCGATCGGTCCACATGCTGGACCGATCGGTCCAGGCGTCGAGACATTCCTTCTCCTACTCAAACTAGGGTTTCTTGGAACCAAAATAAAAAAGGGCACGACCCCTAGGGTTTTGGTACGCCTCCTCAAACTTTTAGAGTAGATCTAGGAGTCCCAAAACCCACTTTTGATTCCCTGAAACCCTGCGCATTATAGAGATCGGGATTTCTAGTCCTAACAGACGAGTTCCAACCGTTGGAATCCTTCCGAACATGCGTGATCGTAGATCTATAAAAGAAACACTAACGTGTGGATATGTGTAGAGGGCTTGATACACTTTCTGCCTTCTTGTGATCGATGATTCAGCTTTAAGAACAGGCCCCAGATTGTTTGAGGTTAGTGTTTCTTCTATAGATCTACAATTATGCATGTTCGATTTTAGGGTTTTGTTTAGAAAAATATTTGTTTTTCACCTTCCACTGCATGAACACTAGAACAAGATCTCTAGGATTGTGAATTGGTAGCGAGATCTCAGGAATCCCAACAGTGGTATCCGAGTCTGACTTGATAACTTAACCTAAACTAGACCATAGTCAAGCCGTGGGAAGCACGATTTCACCATCTTGCCTCACAAAGATAATCTGGCACACTCAGCTTTGGCATGGCCCATGACACGTACGATCGATGCCTTGACAAATGCTCTCGTTATGGACGGTATTAGTTTAGCATTATAAGAGAGGGATTTTCTATCGTATTTAGATCGAGCACATTCACGTTCAAGCTGTGGGAAACACTGTTTCTCCACCTTTCCTCACAAAGATAATACGATACACCAAGTTTTGGCATGCCCATGACATGTACGATTGATGCTTTGACAAGTGCTCTACTAATGAATAGCTCAAAATCTAACCCATCTAGTATACATGTATACTAATCTCCTTACTCCTAAGAGCATTGGCCTAGAGCAATTAAAGACTAATGAATATCTTCGACCAGATCCGTTACATAACACAAATAGACGATCTATTCAGATTTGTAATCCCAATCTCGAAGCTCCCACTCAATTAAGCTAGAGCGGCTAGGTGTGGAACTCGATGGCGAGGTGGCCATGGACCTGATACTTATGTCATTACCCGAGGACTATAACCAGTTTATCATGAACTATCATATGCACAGGATGACTAAGAGCTTGATCGAGCTGCATGGGATGCTGAAGTCGACCGAGCAGAACATCATGGTCCCGAAGAGTGTGCTTGTTATTGAGAAAGATTCCAACAAGAAGAGACGCTCCAAGGGTAAGGGCAAGATGGCTAAGAAGGCAAAAGTTGCCAAATAGCCTAAACCCAAACCAGATAAGGGTGAGAGTCATTACTATCATGACAAAGGTCATTAGAAAAGGAACTGTGCACTATACTTGGAGGATATGAGGAAGAAGAAGCTTGTTGAAGCTTTATCTTCAGGTATTTATGTTATAAAAGCTAACACAAGTACTTCTTCATCCTGGATATTGGATACCGGGTGTGCCTCACACATTTGTGGAAATGTGCAGGGACTCAGAAAAAGTAGGATGCTAGCTAGAGGTGAAGCGGATATGCGCGTCGGAAATGGAGCAAGAGTTGATGCATTAGTTGTTGGCATGTATGATTTAGTTTTATCTTCGAGACTTGTTTTAGAGTTAACTATTTCTATGTGCTTGCGATTAGCAGAAACATTATCTTTATTTCTTGTCTGGATTTGGAGGGTATTCGGTTTATTATTGAGAATAATAGCTTATCGATCTTTTGAGGCGATATTTATTAATCTGATGAACACCTTTTTTTTTAACCTAGTTGTTTTTAAATCCAAATTCGTGTGAGGTTTTATACCGAAATTGAAAGAGAGTTAGACACTTACTCGAGAAGTTTGTCTTGTGTTAACCATACTCGAACTTAAGATTGTTGGGGACGGCAGTTGTTGATGACGGCAAAACTTCGGCAGTTCGAGCGATTCCAGATAAGTACCTGAAATTGAAAGATTATTTTGTCGAGGTCTGTGAAACATAATTTCCTTAAATTCGATTTCCGTGCCACCTCTAAAGCTTCGAGGCTACTGGAGCACGGTGAACTCCCAGGATACAACGACCGCGTATTTGGAAGAAGCTTTCCAAATACCATGTGAACTCAGAGAGAGATATGAGTGTGAATACTCTTTTTTTTCCTCTAGAATGTTTGTTTTCTTTTCTGTGTTTTATGAGCTAACCCAAGACCCCTATTTATAGTAGAGGGGAGAATCTCAAAATAAATCAATTTGAATTTCAAAATTCAAATTTGATTTTATCTTGATATTATCTCAATCTTATCTTAATCATATTTAATAGATTTTCTGCGGATTTGAATCCAATTTGAATTTCAAATTCAAACAAGAATATTCTCTTAATATTCTGCAGATTTAAAGTTTCTAAAACTTTACATGGACCGGACTTCTCACGGAATAGGCCCGTTTTGATTCTATCAAATAAACCCAAATCCAACAATAATTACACTAACAACTCCAATAAACTTCCAAACCACCATGTGCTCTTTCCATGTGCTCTTTCCATTTTCAATATGATGAATGTACATTTGATATTAGCTGTGTTTGCATATTGTTTTTTGTATTGTGAAATGAAAAATGATACGAAACGAAATGAGCTGGAGTATATTGAAACAAATTTAATCAAAGGTTTAATAGATACGAAAGTAGATTATTTTGTCAGTTTTTGTTTCGACATTTAAATATTTTTATTTTTATAATTTATAATTTTTAGGTACAGAAGAATTCCATACGTTATCCTCTGAAATTCATACAATAGAAAAAACTAATTAAATATCTTGCATAATTTTGATAACACGAATTTAACGAAAAATAAAGTAAATCTCTAAACCGGACGAAGAAGGTAAAATTCCCGGTTAAGGACTCCAACGATGACGGAATTTATACCACGCAGACTCATTTGCCCTCTGTCCCTTTTTCTCAGTTCCGTAAACTTCTCACTTTCCCGAAAAAATCAGAGAAATGCAGGAAAAAGAGAAAAACATTCCGATCAAGAAGCGAGCAATAATGAAGGAACAAACAACGGAAGATTCATCATCACCTCTCATTTCGAGAGCCAAACTGGTTTTTTCTTGAATTCGATCGACAAAGAAGCATCTAGTCTCATCTCCCAACTAAATCTGCGACACGAAAGCGAGCAATTTCAATCTGCGAAGAGACTCTACAAATTCTGCTTCGCGTATTTCCAGAATTCCTTAGTCCGATTGCTCCTCGAATTGTATCGTAGCAGTTCGATGGGCAAACCCGAGATCGCGTCGACATCGATTTCGCTGCTTCGTGCCCTTCTCACTTGTATATATATAGCAGGGCCGAATCAATCTGTCTCGTTTTGCGACTCCCATCATCAAACGCTTCTCATCTCTTGCCTTGTGATGCAAGAAACCCAAGATTCGGACATCGAGATTCTCTCGAGGATCATGTCTGTGGTAGCGTCCGAGGTTTTAATATCGGACAAAAATGGCTGGGACAAGCTAAGCGTTTGTATCGTCTCCGTTGCGGATTCTGATCTTCGAAAGGCGTTTCTCTTCGTCCGTGACTTGCCGCCGATCTAGAAAACTTCATGATCGTCATTTTGCAGAGACCTTTTCCAGAAATCTTGAACGCCCTTTTGAACATAGAACGAAGGAATGCCAAAGACTGGAGCCTGGCATTGCAAACGGGTATCAAGATGGCGATTCAGCTCATGGACACTGTTAGAAGCGATTTGGTGGGGAGCATTATGTATGCGATCTATAACTCGGCGAGTAAACTTTTGAAGCAAGAAAAGGAAGAGGTTTTGCAATTAGGGCTTCAAGAATTCGAGATGAATTTGAGGGAATACACTTTTCTGCACGATTCGGAGCAATGCGCACTCTTGTTCGAGTTTACCTCAAAGATGGGTAAAATGACGCCGTAAAGAAGATTTTCAGGTTCTTAGACTTGGTGAGCACTCTTTGATGTCATTTACAAGTTTTTGGGTGAAAAACGGTTTATGAATTTTGCCACATTGCCAATTAGATTTAGGAAATTTCTTGATTTACCAATTACGTTTTGTTTTTCTTTGATTTCCTCTCAATGCAAAGATTTGAACTTGCACTCAGAATTTGGGGTTGTAAAAGCAAGTGCTAATTGTTCACATAGGTTTCCAAAAATGCGGGGTTGAATGGCAACATTTCATAAAGTTGGGGAAATTTTGTGATATTCTTTGAAAAATAGGGGTGTTGAATCATTTACCCTTTCAAATGCAATTTGGAATGTGATTGAATTTAATGTCAATTAAAGCTTATGTCAGATTTTAAGTTGATGGAAGAGTTGTCGTATTTGGTATTTAATCAAGGCTCTTGCATCATTTACCAAACTAAATCGAAGAAAACCAAACCAAATCTAACCAGGCTTCTTCAAAATTGATCAAACACAAAACCGAATCAAAACGAGGCGAAAACAAATAAACTCAATTGGATTCATCCAATGAAAAAAAAACAGATTGATTTTCACCAAACTCAACTCTAATTGGGTTTGTTTGGACTAGGCAAAAAAAACCTTGAATTTTTTACAAGAATTTTCGGATAACCGAAGGAATGAGATACGATATCGAGTAATGATATTGAAATATCCGAAATTTCAGGTTCGGTTATGAGATATTGTTTCGCGGATACAAAATTATAGTTTAACTTTCAGGATTTAAAGGCACTTACGAATATCTTTACGTATCTAATCTTTTTTATCATTATTTAAATTAATTTTAATATAATTGCTCTTTTTTACTAGGCATTAAGAAATAAATCTATTAAATTTGTTCCATTCGTTGTCTCATTTGATTTTAATTGTTATATATAGATATTTTTTGATACATTTATGATTTATGATATATTTTTATAAATTTTGTATCGATTTTAGATATAAATACGTTTTGAATTGACTTGGAAAGAATTTGAAAATCTTTGAGTTGGGGTTCTTGATTATTATCTCACAGATTTTTTAGTCCAAAATATCCAACTTTACGAATTGCCTGGAACTTATAATCCGACATTCAGGTTTATACCCTAGAATCTCTCGAATACATGACTCATGTATCTTTCGACCTGGAAAACTATATA